CTTCAGATTACTATCAGTTGACTTTTGCTCTTAAAATCCGGAAACAATCGGAGAGGTTATTTTACAGGATGCTAAATTCGGGAATCTAGTTTAAATTAAACATTTACTATAGGTGATTCCATTTCTCCGTAAAAATGGAGAAAATGGGCATGTGATCCATTTGAAAATAATTGTTGGAATTGTTTTCTTCTATCAATTTCTCTTTTACACTTTTTATAGGTGGTTTTTTTTTTTTGGTGGTAGAACATCTGTTTTAACATTTACGTCTGTTAGTCGGATTTCCGAATATTTTTTTGTTACACTAAAAATATGGCTAATTATAATAACAGCCAGCTGACTCATATTCCAAAATTTTATAATAACCCATATTTTAAAAGTTCAAAATAGTAAATCACTTTTTCTCTTCCTTGAGTCGTTTACTATATAGCTCGAAATCTCTCTTTGTTATCTTATTTAAGAAAAAAAAAAACTGATGGCTCGTAATACATATGTGTATTCCAACATAAATTGCATAATCAAGATTCGTGCTCGCCTCAACAATGTCCCTCGTCAAGGGGTTGATCAGTTCTTTTAAATTAATGATTATGTGATAGTATTTGATTAATATATCTTTCTTAAATTGTCACCAAATTATTTGGGTGCTTATTACTATGTGGAGTTTGACTTATCATGAATCAGATATTTGATTAACATATTTTTCTTAAATTGTCATCAGATTATTTCAACTGTCACCAAATTATTTGGGCCTTATTAATATGTAGAGTTTGATTTGTTATATGCTTATATAATGCATGAATGAGATCTCTTGATTTAAAAAATTTCCAGTTCAGGTGATTATCGAACTAAACCAGATTAAATGTTAAATTAAATTGTTGTTTACCAAGTGGATGGTAGTCTAATGGTTTTGAGAGTAAAAACTCAAGTTCAAGATCACTAATTCAATTTCAGTTGGAAAGAGTGATTTACGTCTTAAATATGATGTATCAACCGTTGTCTCCGGACACCGAAGAAGATTATGAATCAAAGATCGGAACTCCCACGGTTTATAAAAAAAAAATAGTTTGATTCTCACGTTAAAATCAAGTAAATTCATATATTGTTTGTGTACATTGATCATCGATTAAGTATTTCAATTTCTTTTCCATACCCTCTTGAATATTGTTGCTTGAACCGCAAGTTTAATTATCTCCAGACACCAATTTTCTGATTTTGAGCATTTTTTGTCAGTGACACAAACTCATGATCCAACCCCTGTTTCACTCTGTTTCTACCAATGTTACTGACCCAACCTGTTTGAGATGGATCACAAACTAAAC